CCCTTTTTTTATGAGCCATACCCCCGCTACTTAAAAGCTAAAGAAATGCATTTCATTCTCTTTGTTTTTTTTTTTAATTTAGCACCTCTTTACTGTCCAAAATAGGTTAACTAATTCAGCTCTTATGCCCACGGTGTTCATCTTTACACATTTATTGTTATGCTTGAGGATTTTTGCCCTCGCATCGCTCTCCAAGAAGGTTCATGTATAGTATTCTGATCACCACTTTAATGAATACCTTTTACCGAAATTACATTTGTATTTTCGAGCGAATATATTTTATGATTTTTTTTAATGCTGACTTGCTTCTTGGTCACAAGTTTTGTGGCACATTTTTGGATTTCTCTTCCCTGAATATTCGCTTTTTTAAATTTTATTCTTGTCTCTTTTTTGGGGGTCAGATTGCATTACGCTTCCACTTAGCATTTACATGCTTTTCATGCTTTTTTTCTTGTGGTAAATTTTTCAGAATCTTTTACTCTAACAACTGAGGCACCCCTACTACTCTTGAATCAAATTTTGCCTAGTTTTACTCATGATGTGCCAGCTTTGATCTTTCATCTATCTTCTTTATTCAGTTCCTCGAAATGTAGAACACACATGCATTTTATGTTGTTTCACACCTTACTGCATTTCCTATTTCAAATGTATTCGTTTGTTGTTTTGGAATGTTGCTAACCTTTCGAACTTGATCGTTTTCATCTTATTTGCATACATAATGAGGCGGGCATTACTAAGACCAGTTTGTGGTTTTTATCCCACTCTGCATCAACGGAATTAGGTACGCACGGCCTGCCCTCCCCATTGTAATTCATTCTGTGTATATTGCTGGAAGAGCATTATTGTCCTACGTAGTTGTGAGTAACCACCAAGGCTCAATTCTATGTTGACTGAGGTCATGCTTGCCGTTTTCTCTCTGTTTAAATAGCTTCGTTGCATTCCTAACTCCATTCCTCCATATTTGCTGTTTTTCGAACACCAAAGAATGGCGTGGACTTCTGCTCGCTCTTTTTTACTGATCCGTTAGGCTAATCACCATCATATTCAGGAGTTGGCTTTGGTTGTACTGAAAGCACTAATTAATGCTCTGACATCAACGCAGTTTGTCATAGGCGTGAATATCTGGTGTACTACCTCTGTTCTGAATTTGTCCATTATCATTTTCTGTTTATTTTTGAAACCCCTATCTTTTAAGGGAGAATGGAACCGAAAATCAGATAGTTAATCGCGCCAGTTCGGTGGGAAACTTAATTGAACGCCTTCCACATCCATCTCCAGTGCGTTTGCCTCCTCTATCGCATCGATTTCGGGTAAACTTACCGTTCCCTTTGTTTATCCTCTTTCCTATCCATTGTCTCATCTGTGCTAACCTTTTGTATAGCGATTTGTCTATATCAGCGTGACGCTATTCGTCTCGTTGATACCATAGATGTGTTCATATTACGTTTTCACTGTGATCAGATCATCCTGAAGAGATTTGGAAAAATATTTTGCAGGTAATACATTTTGTGTTGTTGATGGGTGATATTTGGCAAACTTCATAGGAAGTGTGGTGCACACGCACAACGAATGTAAGCTGGTGAAGACCGCAGTCAGGGCCCAAGATAATTCTCATCACCACCCTTGTACCTGACCTTCTCTAGCTCTCGGTTGGTCCTACATTTTCTGATGTTTCTACCTCCGAATTAAAGTTGTTACCTCCAACTTTTTTTATGGCTGTCGTACATTAGATGACCGTAAATTTAGTGACATTGCCCATTTATTAAGTCCTACTTATATTCATGTAGGTAGGCTCGTCACTGTACTCAAACTTCCTCCGTGAGCCAAATCACCAGCATTAGCAACAATGAAGTCAAACTACAGGGTACTTTGAAAATAGCGCATTCACAGCTTGATTTAAAAGTTCGTTAACCCATTTTTCTGGATGATTCAAACTACTCGTCTGCAATCGTGCCCCCATTTTTT